TGGAGGTGGTGTGAGAGGAGGGTGGGAAGGGACAGAGGGTCAGAAAGAGGGGTGGAAATAATTCTAGGAACTAGAATTGGAAATTTTTTTTTGTAATATGCATGATTGAGTCACTACACAGTGTGTACTGGATGGGGGATCGCATTTTGTGTGCTGTGATGATGCTTAGGGAAGGAATGTAAATTGAGTTACAAAAAAAAAAAGTTTCAAGAAAAAAAATCTATTCAATGACTGCAGTAGAATATGTAGCCCCTGCTACGTGCTACTTTATAGGATGTGTAAAGTTAGACTTGTGTTCATGGAAATGTGTGTGTCACCTGTGTTTGCTATGAGGGTATTTGGATTGATTAGGGTCTTTGGTGATTCAATAAAATGTGGTGGGAAAACAGTATACAAAGCAAACATAGATACCAGAGACAGTGTGGGAGGAGAGTGGGAGGTGGCAGAGGGTAAGAGATAGGGAACCAAATCAAGGATGGGGGGAAAAAGCTAAGCATACAGAAAACAAGAAATGGAAGATCATCTGCTAACAATAGCATGTTTGTTGATCTGCTTGATTGAGACAATATACAGTGTACTCTGGATGGAAAATCTCATTTTGTATGCTGTAATGATGTACAGTGAATGAATGCAAATAAACAAATTGAAATTAAAAAAACAAAAACATACAGGTAACCCTGACTTCTATAATAGCAGCCCCCAGGAAACAAGTATCCCAGTGTGAGGGGAAAAGATACCGATTACTACAACACATACCTGGGGAAGGTGAAGAAAGAGGGGTGATTTTAAAAGCCTCATGTGGGGGCCAGCAGGTGGTGTGGTTAAGGCACTGGATCCCACATGGCCGATTGCATGGTTCAAATCCCAGACCCAGTGGCTTGAAAAAACCAAAAACATGCTGGCCATGTGCTTTGTGTGTGCAAATTCCAAGGAGAATGGAGAAGGGACTGCAGTGTGGCTAACCCCTGGGGAGTTATCTATCTATCTCCCCCCTCTTTCTCCAGTGAGTACATGTACCCTATGGGGGTGGGGGCGGGGGGGGGCTGATGCAGGCCAGCCAGTGGCATGGTGGTTAAAGCAACCAGATCCACATGGGCAACCGTACAGTTTCAGTCCCAGACCTGGAAGCTTGAAAAACACATCAGGTACCTTTAAGTGTATGCCCAAAATTGCAGCATGACCGTGACTCACAGGAAGTGCTTTCTCACTTCTCTCTCTGCCTCTCTCCAGCAAGAGAGTGTACCCTCCAGCAAATAAAAAATAAAATAAAATAAAAAAAGGCTGATGCTAAAATGGACAAAAGCATCAAACCCAGGAAGTTTTCTAAAGGAAGAAGACCTGGT